GTCCCATCCTGTGTAGTCATCATTTCTCCATTCTCCCCCACCCCTGGTGCTGGGTCAGGGCAGGGGTGAGGGTTCTAGGAGGCTGGTCAGGGAAGCTTTTTGAGTATGAGTTTCTTCAAAAATGCCATTGGCTCTTGATGTCCAGGAAGATCCATGTGCCATCATCCTAAGTGCTTCTACCTTTCTCTAAAGGGGGCCTTAGAAGGAGCTGTTTTCCCCTTCCTTTAGAGCAGCACTGTGTTTCCTGTTTACACCAGCATTACCATCCCCTTGGGAAATGGCTTAGGAACCAAGGGAGGATGGGCGGTGGTTGAGATGGAATCTGAGAGTATCTGCCCAACTCAACCTCTGTTGATTGGAAAGGAAGGAAGAAGGAGAGGTCTTGGTAGCTGGGCTGAGGTAGTTTAGAGTGGCAAGGCAGCTTCTCCTTGCTGTACTCCTTCCGCATCTTTGCCAACATTTGTCATTGTTGGTGTTCTTGATGGTAGCATCAATTTAATAGTATTTATATCTTACTATGCTGGTCCGGAACTGGGCCTCCTACCTGCCACCCATCAGGGAGGGAGGCAGGAACAACTCTGGTCTGGTCCTGCTGCCAGGGCTGCTGCAGAACAGGGGAGGCAGGGGGTGGGTCAGGCACTTGAGCTGGGAGCAGATTGAATGCTGTCAAACTCTCAGTGCAGTCTGCCCACTTGGGTGATGGGTCAGGTAGAACTAATAAGCTCATTAATTCATTGTTCAACAAATCTTTGGATGCCTGTTGTGTTTCAGGCATTGCTCAGTGCTGTGGTGGACAAGAAGCCTATGGTTCCTGACAAACCACCATACGTGGCATGCATATGATTTTGTAAAAATGTTTTAGCAAGTATTTATTTTAGTATAACAGGATAAAGTAGGGAGAAGTATGTGTGTGGGAGAGACATTTCCTGCTCCCCATGCAGTATATGATGTTTTTACTATGTACCTCACTTTATAGATACTTACTAAGGTGTGGATATGTACTGATATGTCCATTCCAAAGTATAGAAGGGAAGGAAAATGAGATAAGTAGAAATAAATTCTGATATCCCCCACCCCACTCACACAGATTATGTTATATGCATCCCACTGGAGAGAACATTATAGTGTGCTGTGTTGCTTTCACAGGTAGCCTGCAGTATCAGACACCACTTCATACATTAGCTGGGGGCGGGGGCATTTTTGCGTTGGGACTGCCTATATGAAAAGAGGAAGCTAAGCTGGCAAATGCTGCACCAAAGTAATTTATTAGTTACCCAGACCACTGTTCTTCCCTTGACCCACTGTCCGTGAAAGAGGCACCCATGTTGCCTGGGGTGGATGTTTAAGGTACTCATTCTCCTGTCTTGGGAGCAGGGGAACCTGTGGGGCAGGCACATGTTGTTCTTCAGTCCTTTTACAGCTTCCACAGCTGCATGTTGCATTTGATCCCCCAACAATGTCTGAGACAGGGAGTCCTTGCACCACTAGGAAGGCTGGATTGGAGAAGGAGGCCTGTGCTGAGTAGGATGAGCATCACAGCTGGCCCTGGGCACTCCTGTTTTGGACTGGCTGCTAGTACTGCTGCTTTCTGTAGTTTGCTTGGATGTCTGCCTGTCTTGCCATCCCCTGAAAGCAGTGGATGGACATGCTCAGTATCTCTAATTCATCGTACAAAATGTGCTACTTTTCTTCTGGGCAGGAAGTTGGGTTCCAGATCCCCATCTTCTTCCAGACCCACTGTGTAAGCTGCTGCCCGAACTCAACTTCCTTTATGTAGGCCTGAGCAGCTGCTTCCCCAAGTGGAAGTCCTTTTGCCCATGGGCTGTGGATGGGAGTGGGAAACCACAGGCCTTCAGGTTTTCTTAGGTTTCTTAGGTTTCTGTTCCCATTCGACACACCTGCGGGTCAGATGCTAGAGAGCTGACTGACTTGTCTCCCTTCCCCAGCTGTGCCTTTTCCCTCATAGGGATTCACCCTTTCTACCTGTTTGGCCCTGTCTCAACTGTGGGAGAGTGGTGGTGGTGTATAGGTGTCAGTCTCAGAGGGTGCCTCCAGTCCATTCAAGAGTGGGGTGAGGGCCTGTACTCACTTAGAAGTAGGTAAAATCTAGGAAGTTAATCTCTTTCAGGCTTATTTCTTCAGGGCTCTACATTTCTTAGTCATTAGCCCCAGTCACCTTGAGATCTTGGTTATAAAAGCAGTGATAGTATTCCCGTGAGACTTCCTTATCCGTTTACTACTTTTTGCTTCAGGGTAAGGGAGAGGAATCAGGTTTAGGGGATCATGGTGCTGTGCATACAGTTCATAAAAGACCGCTGGCAAATTCAGAAACACTTTTAGCATGGAGCTAGAACCCCCTGCCCCCAACACACCACTCTTCAGGCTCTGTTCCTGCCCTTCCCCACCTGGAGACCTAGCAGCCTTATGTCTCCTTGACAACGGGACAGATAAGTTAAAAATAACCTTGTGCTGGGCCTTCTGTGTGTGTGAGTGAATGCCCTGCTGTGCTAGAGTTTCTAGATGCTCCTGGAGCGCATCCATGGGAGCCTTGCAGGGCCCAGGTTCTTGCACTTTGAAGTCCCCCAGTTTGTAAGTCAGAACTAGATCACCATGAAGCATTATTACCTATATTACTGTTGGTTGCCAGTGGGGTGTGAGTGTGAATATTAAAGAATGGAAATACGTTGTGAATGTCTGGTTCATTTGTGTGACTGGAGAGAGATGATCCTGGAGGTATTACTGTGTTTCAGAATCTTTTGGGGTAATGGAGAAGGACACAGCCCTGGGTGGAGTTTGGTTCTCTCCAGGGAATCCCTACATGGGAAATGTAGATTAGTGGTAGTACACTGTCCAAGTATGTGCAAAGTCTTGGGTTCAATCCCCAGTACTGCTCTGTTTCCCCCGCAACAACAACAAAAGAATCCCTACAGGTGAGGAGGGCCAGCCTTTACTGAGTTCCTTCCAAAAGGTGAGCACACACAGGTACTTAGGTCACTTGTCAGAGCCATCTGGCCCTGCTGTGGTTCTTTTTCCCTACTTAATAAAGCTATCTCTATAGATCATTGACCAAAGCCAACTGTCTCTTTTATCAGGAGTCCATACTAGCTAAGGCCCTTGGTATTAGTATCTATCATAGCTGTAAATTAATTTAGAAATAGCGTTCTCCATGAGGGCAGGGGCTGGGTCTCTACCATACCTGATATTAATTCTTAATTCCTCTTTCCCTTCATCATTTGTCCACCCATTAGTAAGCATTTTGCTTTGGGCCAGACATGACAAATGAGAACAAGATGTCATGGTCAAATCATTAGGGAGTGTATGGTCAGTTGAGGGGATAATTACTTTAAAAGTCTCCATTGTGACCAGTGCTGAGAATGGAGAAATTCAGAGGTTAGAAGAACATGAGACTGGGAGAACATTCTTGCACATGGAGTACCAGTAACACAAAGTACTTAAAGACAGAATGCATTTTTAAAAATCCTACAAGTTGCCTTGGGATGGAGCTCAGTGTAAGAGGCCCTGGGTTTGATCCCGAATATCTTTTAAGAAAGAAAGGCAGAAAGCCCAGCAAAACAAAAACAAAAACAAAAACTGACTAATAGCTTGACAAACACTTCACAAAAGAGGATATCCAGATAGCCAATAAACATATAAAATAAGTTTTGGGGGAAATTCAAATTCACCTTAATTTTTTAAAAGTGGCTGTTTTTGTGTTTATACTCATACTTAACAAAGTGTTCAAAGATGTGATGAGACATCTGCTTGCCATTTCTAATTTACTTTGTTCTGAATGTGTTATTGAAGAATAAAATGGATTCCAAAATGCTTAAATGAAAGAAAATTTAGTGGGATGAACACATTGAAGCCAGAAGCCCTGGGTTAATATGGGACAGTGGGCCAGACACTTAACTTTCCAGAGCTCCTGTTTCTAATTTGTAAACAGAGCTCTTCCTGTCTCTTCCCTTCCTCCCATTACTGCTCCAAAGCTCACAGGTATGAGACATGCTTTTCACATTGGAGGGGCTCTATAAATACTCTGTGGTGCATTCTAAGTGATCTGATTTTTCCTCCACTTTCCTGTGACAGCAGCTACTTTAAATTCCCCTAAGGGATAGGGGATCAGAGAAGTGGGATTGTTGCTAGGGTTTGGAATAGCCTGTTTGGTACTTGGGGTAGAGTTTGTGTTTAGCATGCCTCCCTCCATCCCCACACCCTCCAGTCTGGTGGCAGAGTCAGTTCCTGCAGTTGTTAACTTCCTGGCTGTGGCCTGGACAGCAGCTCAGTGTGAGTGACCTTGCAGGTTCTGCTGATACCCTGGGTCTGGTGGCAGGTGAAGGTGAGGTGCACCAGTCTCCGCTCAAAACACTGACTTGAGTGAGTGGGAAGGTGTATCTTCCATGCTGACCGTGGCAGCCTTCTCATAGGGTGTTCTCATGAAGTCCAGAAGTCATGCTCTAGACTCTTAACTGATTCATGGTGGCAATTGCCTGCACACCTGAGAGAGCCTGGTCGGTACCACTGGCTGTATGGTGGCCATGAGGATCCACAAGGTGTATAGAGAGAGAGCAGAGGCTGAGCCCTGTAAGGTTCAAGTGCTGGTGGAGAGGAATTTGCAGACATGGCTAGATCTTTCTGTGTGCTGATGCTCAGTGCTTACAGGGATGAGTCTGGGAAACCTTTGCAAGAGCAGGCTCAGAGACCCACTCCCAGGAAGTCATTCACAGTCTTCTTTCTGCATTCTTTAGGTATAAATGAACCATTTCTCTCAGCCTTATGATCCCACCTGGGGATTAAGCAGATTGTGCATCTCTTCCATCAGAGGAAAGCCACCTTGGCACATGTCAGAACGCTATTGGGATTGCCATGAGTCCTGTCCCGTTACCTAACTGTGCCAGGCCAGGTTTGGGATCTTTCCCACAGATCTCCTGTGACAGGCATGCACTTCTTAATGGTTTATTTGCCAGTTTTGATTTTTCCTCTTCTTTGTTTTTACCACTTAGGAGTCAGAGTCAGAAGCAAAGATAGATGGAGAGACTGCATCAGATAGTGAGAGCCGAGCGGAAACAGCTCCTCCAGCAACTGCTGTAGATGATACTCCAGAGGTCCTCAACAGGGCCCTCTCCAACTTGTCTTCAAGGTAACTAATCTGGCTTACTGATACAGGTGCTTGTAAGGGGCCTTGCACTGTACCCAAGTGCAATGAGGGACTTAAGGTATTAGGGTTTCTGGTTCAAGGTTTACTTTTCCTCTCTCACACATATATCCACTGTGAACGATTTCTTCAGTTCTCTAGGAAGAACTGAGGAACATCTCAAGTTTGGTGAATCCAGGGCTAAAACTCCAAGCTCTTGAGAAGCTGGTCCTTCTAATACCAACCATATGGGTGAGTGAGAAACACAAAGTGAAGGAACCCAGAGTTTTATCTGAAAGTGTTCCTGTGTGTGCCTTCCAGTTATCCCTTTGAGAGGCTGTATTGTCAGTGGGTATGGAGTCTGGAGCCAGACTCCTAGATTCAAATCCTAGCTGTATGGCCACTGTCTCCAACTCCTTAGTAAAATATGTACTAATCTTATGTATCAATTAAAATACTATTTGAATTAAAACCTACTTATTTACTTATATTTTTGGTGGGACTGGGTTTTGAACTCAGGGCTTCACATTTGCAAAGCAGGTGCTTCACTGCTTGAGCCACACCTCCAGTCCATTTTGCTCTAGTTGTTTTGGAAATGTGATCTCGTGAACTATTTGCCCTGGCTGGCCTCAAACCGTGATTCTCGTGATCTCAGCCTCCCAGGTAGTTAGGATTACTGGTGTGAGCCACTGGCACCCAACAAAACCTACTTAAAATAAGACTAAATATTTTAAAAGAGCTATCTGTGTTGAGGGTTTGATGTGTCAGTAATATAAAAAATTCTTACTGAAGTGCCTTGAGCATATTCGTGATAGCTGGTTTTCTATTATTTTCACAGTGATGATAAATTCTGCTGTAGGAAAAAGGCTCAGTCTTTTCTTCAGCTAGAGATGGCCATAGAAACTACATCTCTCTGTCCTCTTTCTTTATAACATAGCTGGATATGTTTTTCTGCAGCCACGGAGCGTGTGCTGAGTTTGGTTGTGGTTAAGACATTGGTCTAGTGACCCTGCTCCTGCCAGCATGTGGCATTGTCTCTGTCAACGTGAAGGAGATGCTCTAGAAAGTATTGAGCTCAGGGCCTTCCATTCTCAGAAGGAGCCATCTCCCTTGGGTTTGTGCTTCAGTTTTTGTGGCTCCTAACTGGTGTTTCCTCCGTCCTCTACTCTCTCACCTAGATGGAAGAACTGGTGGGTGAGAGGTATCCTGACTTTGGCCATGATTGCATTTTTCTTCATCATCATTTACCTGGGACCAATGGTTTTAATGATGATTGTAAGTGCCATTTACATGCCTTTTTAAGTTTTACCTTCAGGTTTTCCTGTAGGACAGTTGTCTTTAGTGCTAGGTGTTGGGTTTGGTTCTGAGAATCAGTGGGGCTCCAGACTCCTAAGATCACTCTGCCTTAGACCTGTGACTTATCTTTTAGTAGCCAACTGAAGGGTCACTGGCCTAGGCCAGTTGTTTATGGTTAAAAAGATGTCTGTGTTTTAAAAATTGAATTTGTTATTACAGATGTTTGATTAAAATTGTGACTTTAGCTGTCTTTGACCCCTGGTTTTGTTTCTTGCTTTCCTGGAGCCTCACTCATGGGCTTAGAGCTCTCATTGTGAAGACACAGGCCATGAGCTGCTTTCAGCCTTTCCACTGTCAGGATAGGGCTAGCTGATTCAGCTTAACAATGCACTTGGGGCCTTTTACATATTTATATCCAAAGTCAGAGGGGAAGGAATTAGTTGAATCCTAGGTGGTTCTAGAATAAAGATTAACTAGGAGAAATTGCACCTGTTCCCTGTGACAAAAAGGGCTGCACTGATGGTATAAGAAAGAAAGAGGAGAGCGGAATCATTGTAGAACTGAATTTTTTCCTTTTTCTTTTTGGCAGTACTGGTGGTTGAACTTGGGGCTTGGCACTTGCTAGGTAGGCATTCTACCACCTGAGCCATGCCCTAGCCCTAAATTTTTTTCTTAAATAATTTTTTTCAAAGGCCCATGACTTGCTAGTTTTTCTTTCCAAAGACTATAAGAAGAGTGCTATAATTCTTCTGTTTTGCAGGTGATGTGTGTTCAGATTAAGTGTTTCCATGAGATAATCACTATTGGCTACAATGTCTACCACTCCTATGATCTGCCCTGGTTCAGGACCCTCAGCTGGTAAGCTCTCTCTCTGGCACCACAGGGCACCTTACCTGACTTAAGTGACATGTTTTGTGGCAGGTGTTTACAGTGATCATGGGTGGAGGGAGTGATTGCTGTAGACTTGCACAGCACCTTTGAGCCTGAGACTGTCACAGGTCCGACCGTGTGGCTGCCTTTGAGGCATCTTCAGTAGCTACTAGGGGCCTGGAATCTTCCTCAGAAGAAACCACATGGGTTGTGTCTGTGATGGGTTTGCCTTGGTATTAGGGTTACTTAGGCTTCTGGGGAAGGAGTGGTGTTTGCTTTCACTCTTCCCTCAACAGTATATTTTTCATGTTGTAGTAGCCCAGCATCCCACAAGAGTCACTAGGGGTTGTCAGGAATCTTCCTCAGAAGAAACCACATGGGTTGTGTCTGTGATGGGTTTGCCTTGGTATTAGGGTTACTTAGGCTTCTGGGGAAGGAGTGGTGTTTGCTTTCACTCTTCCCTCAACAGTATATTTTTCATGTTGTAGTAGCCCAGCATCCCACAAGAGTCACTAGGGGTTGTCAGGTTCTGGTGCTTGTGCTGCTTTGGAACTTGGCTTCCTCATTGCTAAAACAGATGGTTGAGGCTTGAACAGTCATTTTCAAACTGTGATATTGGAGCCCTCATTCCTTGGAAGTGTCTGGGGTCCAGCGTGGGCGGGATGGGACTGAAAATACAGAATGTGGGCTTCCTCCAGGGAAGCTGCTTTCTCCTCTTAGAAAAGGGCTTGGCTGCCTTAATGCAAAAGCAAAATAACTGTAGCACAAATGATGCCTGAGACCCCATTCTGACCTGAAACTGCTTTGTTGTCCACACTGTTCTTGGGTGGTGACATTTGAGCAGAACACTGCACAATGTTGACAAGACTTGGGCCAAATACAGATCTTTCCACCCCACTGTTCTGGGACACGGGATTGATTTGTGACTTAGTGGGCTGGACAGCAGTGTTTTGTGCCCCAGTACCTTGGTCATGGCCAAGGAAACTGACATGCTCAGAGTTAGGCCAGGCATACCCCTCTCCATCACTCAGCAGTGCCAGCTGCCTAGCTGCCTCCCATACTCCAGATGAACTTGGAATTGCCCCCAGGTTAAGATATAGGTCTCTTTCATGACTGTTGTATAACTGGACAGCTGTAGTTTGAATTTTGTTAACATACTCAGGCCTGAGCTCTAGCTATGATTACTTTCCAGTGAAAAATTTTTCCCTCCATATAATGTAAATAAATACAATATGTGAGTTTTGAACTTCACAATTAAAAACAAACAAACAAAACCAAAAAAACAAGAAAGAGGAGCTCTTTACTATCTTCCCTGCCTCAGGATCCTTGCTGAAGGTGTGGAGTGGTCCTGCATGATGCATACTACTTGCTATAGAAATAAAGGTGGGGGGAGGTAGATAGCATGTTGGGACATGCAAGGTTTTCCGAAGAAAATGGTATTTGAGCAATCAGTAAAAAAATAGGTAATTGAAGAGGCTGTTCCAGGCAAGGAAGAGGCAAAGCAGAGTAGACAGGTGGCAAAGCCAGAGTGAGCCATTTTTTTATAGGCATGGAGGGTTCTTGTGGGAAGAGTGGGAATGAGCCAGGGAGGCAGGATGAGGTTTATTTTGGAGGGTCTTGAGGTTGAGTATGGGAATGCCACAAAAGGGCCAAAAATTGAGTCCCAAGTTTGTAATAAAGGAAGAGTAAACAAAAGGTGCCACAAGTTTCTTGGTCACCTTCTTCCCTATGGTGTCAGTGGAGAGCAGGGAACTGTGGTCTGCTAGTCCCCTTTTGACCTGTTTTGGGGTCTTGAGATGGCATGTGCTGTTGCTCTTGTCTTCCTTGGGGCTGTCTGATGGTCTCGTAGTGGAGAGGCTACATGTGCTCCCATGGCATTGCCCTGTCTTCATTTGCAGGTATTTTCTCCTGTGTGTTAACTATTTCTTCTACGGTGAGACAGTGACTGATTACTTCTTCACTCTGGTCCAGAGAGAGGAGCCTTTGCGGATTCTTAGTAAATACCACCGGTTCATATCCTTTACTCTCTATCTAACAGGTATGTGCTAAGCACTTCTCCAGTTCTTTCATTGGTATTGTTTTCATCTGTTTCTTGAGTAGGAGTTGGGGAATTTCTTGGTTAAAGTTTTGTGATGTTAACTCTGACCAGGTGAGCAGTGGGCTGACTGTCTTAACGTTGGCTGCAGCAGCTCTTTATTAAGAGAACCAGAGGCCTAGGGGATTATTAAGTTGTGGGGGTTGACATCTGTGCCACCTGTGCTTGACTTCCACCTCCCTAGGAGGATAGCAGAGCATGGCCTTGTCCTGACTCTCTTGTTGGCAAAGAGTCTGCAGTGTGAGATTAAAAGAAAAAAAATCATCTAGCCATTGACCATTTAGGGGAGTTATTTTAGCAACACTTTTGAGAGGCATTGCAGTGTGGTGGAAATTTTACTGGATTTGGGCTTGGAAAGACTGCAGTCTCTGAGGGGTAGGAACTTAATCTGAGTCTCAGCTCTTTTGTAATCTAGAGCTAAAACTGTGGGCCTGTTGGAATATTTTTTCCTTCTGACTGCTTATCTGGATGACTAGTTTTTCTCCTCTGGGTTTGTTGTTTTGTTTTTGTTTTCTCTCTGGTTTTTTAACTTAGGCACTGTTAAGTACTGCAAAGAAATTAGTGAAAAGATCACCTAACACAGCTAAAGGAAATGACTAGGAGAAAGAGAAGGGCAGAGTGTGATTGATTTTAACTTTTCTCCTCCCTCTAGGATTCTGCATGTTTGTACTGAGTCTGGTCAAGAAGCATTATCGACTGCAGTTCTACATGGTGAGGGGAGTGTGTGTGTGTGTGTGTGTGTTGATCCGTCTGTTTGTGCGAATTCTTAGTGTACGTGAAGATCTTTGGAAACTCAACTCATGCCTTCTGTGACAAATCACAACTCTGGGATGTGGTCTGTTCTGTCAGCATTTAGATATTGGAGCAGGAAGAAGAGTGTCCATTTAGGTTATGGCACTACATACACCTAGACCCAGCCAGTAGTATGTAATTCATGCCCTGAGCAGTCTCTACCAGGCCCCTGAAGGCTCCAGGTAAGGTCCAAGCTGAAGGTTTAGATGTTGTCTGCAGAAACTCTGTCTGATGGATCATTTGGTGCTGGGCATTCCCTACCACAACTTGACAGCATCTCTGAGTTCCCTTAAGAGCTCAGTGAAATGATAAAAGCAAGTGCACACAAGGGAGGTGTGAGGATAGGTAAGACACCTAAAAAATTAGCTAGCATTTGTTGCCCTTAACGCAGAGAAACTAAAGCAGATACCTTAAAAGCAACTGAGGCCAATAGGAAAAGGGGACCAGGAACTAGAGAAAAACGTTAGATCAAAAAGAATTAACCTAGAAGGTGACACACACGCACAGGAAATTAATGTGAGTCAACTCCCTCTATAGCTATCCTTACCTCAACTAACTAAAACCCTTGTTCCTTCCTATTATTGCTTATACTCTCTCTTCAACAAAATTAGAGATAAGGGCAAAATAGTTTATGCTGGGTATTGAGGGGGTCGGGGGGGAGAGGGAAGGGGCAGGGTGGGTGGTAAGGGAGGGGGTGGGGGCAGGGGGGAGAAATGACCCAAGCATTGTATGCACATATGAATAATAAAACAATAAAAAAAAAAGAGCTCAGTGAATACTAAGAAAATGAAAAGTACCCAGTCTTCAGTGTACAGAAGGACTCACTCATTAGTGAACCATATGGTCTGTGCTTTTTTAATTTTTTTGGTGGGACTAGGGTTTTAACTCAGGGCACCATGCTTGCAAAGCAGGTACTCTACCACTTGAACCACATCTCCAGTCTGTTTTCCTCTGGTTATTTTGGAGATAGGAGTCTCACTATTTACTTGGGCCAGCCTTGAACCACAATCCTCCTGATCTTAGGCATGAGCCACCAGCTCCCAGCTTGTTTTCTGCTTTTGAGGAGATAATCTTACTAGGTTATTTTCAGAAGCCTGATCTGTATCTTTTCACTTCCAGGAACTTAGGTACAAAAGCAGGTATTTTTCCTGTTTCTCAGCAATATTGTATTTGTTATTGGTTGTTCTTTGAAGTTACTTGAGAGGTAAACTTGATAGGTAGTTTATTTTTCTTCTTTTGCAGTTTGGCTGGACCCATGTAACATTACTGATTGTTGTAACCCAGTCACATCTTGTTATCCACAACTTGTTTGAAGGAATGATCTGGTAAGTGATGGCAGTGGGAGAAATTTCCCTTTTATTTTGTGGATGTTTCTCATTGGTAGGCTGAAAACCTCTGCCTTAGCAAGCCATGTGTCTCACCTGAGTCCATCAGGATCCTATGCAGGCTAGTTACAGCACAGATGACTGATTGAGTTTGCCATGAGGCCTGAGAATATGAGTACATTCTCAAGTGGTGCTGATGTTGCTGGCCAGGACCCATATTCTTAGAATCTGTTCTGGAAAGAGACATTTAAAGAATCAAAGACAGTGTAACTGTATAGCAATAGATTTAAAACCCTAGAGGAAAATATTCATGATTTCCTAATAAATGGTAGGGTGCTAAAAGTCACAAAAAGTAAACTTGAGTAGATCAATAACTATCGAAGAGCTTTGAAAATTGTGCAAGTTCCACACCTGGAAAAAGAAACAGGACAAAGTGTGTTAACAGCTGAGTATTTTCTAATCCTTACAAAGCTCATAGGAAGGTGAAACAAGAATGAGAAACTATCTCCTTTTTGATTATAGACAAACGATTCTAGCTAAAGTGTTAGCAAATAGAATCTGGCAATGTGTCAGAAGAAGAATATGCTGCTACTAAGTAGGTTTTACTTCAGAAGTGCAATGTTTTCAATAGGATATCTACTATAAACCAGAGTGACTGAAGAAACTAAATGATCATAGTGGAAAAGTAAATGTGCATCTTTTTGTGGGTGACATCCCACACTACCTAATCGTCAGATTTAGGATGTTGGAACCCCCTTCTCCTGAGGAGTCAAGTAGTCAATGTATCTAAAGAGATTAGCTCATGTAAATATTAGCCTTAGCCATTGTTATTACATGTAAAACAATTATAATAGCCAAAGGAGGCACCAGTTCTTTCTCTTTCTGTCAGTGTTTTTGTTAGGTATTTCTTAAAGAGTGGCACGTGCTGAGTTGCCTCATCAGTGGCTAATACTAAAATTTCTAATGAAGACTTAATCATAGTTACAGAGGAGACACTGTTAGAAGCCTTGATAATGTGGGGATTGGAAGGTTAATGGAGTGAGGAGTTACAGATGCTCTAAACTCTCCCCTCAAACAGGAAGTCAGGAAATACTGCCTGCAGTTGCTAGGCCAAGAAATCAAGATTTATGTATATCATGTATTAAACTGTAATAGAAGAACTTGAAAAAATGTCAAAGGGTACAGAGTGAGGAGAGGAGAAAGCTGCTGCAAGTGTAGAAACGTCTCTCCTCCCGCTGGGGATGACAAGGCCAACAGGGGAGGAGTCAAGGAAGAAATGTAGCTTTGTGTACTATGGTTTTCCTCCCAGGGTCCTCCTAAGGAAAAGGACGGCACACTAGTGCTAGTAATAAACAATGAAAAAAGTAAGTTATGATATAAAATATATTGTTTAGTAGTGAGGAGGTATCCGCTAGAAGAAAACTTAGAAATGACTAAGTGGATATTTTTAAACATAGAGATAGGGATGGGGAGAGAAGGAAAATTTTTTTCTTTCATAATTTATATTATCATGTGCATATATTATGAAAACAGAACATAGGACCTTTATTGAATGCTGCCTCCATTTATTCAGTAGGTATTCAGTAAACATCTGAATGTCTGCCATGTGTCAGGTACTAGGTATGGCTGTTTTGGTGTTTTCTTTCTTTATAGCTTATTCCTTAAGGGTTACAAGTACACTGTGACTTATTTTGGTACTGGGATTTGTGAATGGCTTAGGATGGTGAGCTTCTGAGGTCTTACCATCTCTGGAGAGTTGATCCTCACTTTGGTTTATTTCCTAGGTTCATTGTCCCCATTTCTTGTGTCATCTGTAATGACATCATGGCCTATATGTTTGGATTTTTCTTTGGTCGGACTCCACTTATCAAGGTAAGTATGTCACCCCAGCATGAAATATCACCATCAGTGGAGGATGATGCTTTCTATGTGAGCAGATCAGTGTGGCAGACAGAGAGGAAAACTAGCTGGTACATACTGTGGCCATATTTTCACATTACCCTGGAGACAGACTAAGAGTAAATTATTGTTATTATTATTATTGTTTTGCAGTACTGGGGTTTGAACTCGGGGCCTTCACCTTGAGCCACTCCACCAGCCCTAGTTTTGTGAAGGATGTTTTGAGATAGGGTCTCAAGAGCTGTTTGTCTGGGCTGTCTTCAAAATGCCTCCCGAGTAGCTGGGATTACAGATATGAGCCACCAGCGCCTGGCCTAAGAGTAAATTAATTGTAAGATAAAAGCCAGAAGAAGAGCTAGGTGTGGAGGTACACATCTATGATCCCAGATCTCCGGAGGCTGAGGCAGGAGGATAGCAAGTTTGAGGACAGCGTGGACTGCATAGCAAGACCCTATCTGAAAAAAACCATAAGAAAGAAGAGAAGGAGGGAAGGAGGGAGAGAGGGAGGGAGGGAAAGAAAGGTGAAGAGGAAGAAAGAGGGAAAGGGAAGAAAAAGGAAAGAGAGAAAATCAAAGGAAAATACTGACTTTAAAAAATATATAATAAAGCAAATGCTTTTTATGTGCTATTTTAGAGCTTCAATCTGGATTTGAATGTTGTCATTAAGTTAGTATATAGTTTTATAATATATTTGAATAACAAATTGAAACAAAGGAAACTGAAAGGTATAAGGTAGAGAACAAGGAAACCATATTTGGGGGGGATTTTAGAAGTGGCATGGTTAACAGAATTAGGGCTTAATGATACAAATATCTTTCATAAGCAGTCATTGTTCTCAGAAGCAGAGTTGCGGAAACACTCTTTGCTGACAGCATGCTTTCTGTCCACAGCTCTCTCCAAAGAAGACTTGGGAAGGCTTCATTGGGGGCTTCTTTGCTACTGTAGTGTTTGGCCTTCTGGTAGGTGGTGGCTCCCAGCTGGATGGGGGAGTGGACGGAGGCCTCAAATCCATCTTCAAAGACCTGTGCAGAGCTAGAGATGTCTCCTCAGGCCAGGGACTCTGTGCTGCCAAATGGTGAACTTGCCCCAAAGATGGGCATGAGCATGGCACACTCCATAACTGGTATGGCAGCTCTAGTGTACTTTATCCACCAGATTTCAAGCAGGGTCTTAGCAGTTGATGTTCAGAGGTTGTGTGCACCCACCTTGTATGCCTTCTTTTGCCTAGGCATGGTCATGCTCAGCAGACAGTATTCTTATGTAGGCCTTCAGTATTTCAAGATCAAGTGACTAGCACCTGAGAGTAAGTTGTAAGATGAGACATGCTACTCCAATCCGGATTTTCTTCTGTGTGTGACCTGTTTGGAGGTGGACAACTTTTCAGCCCTTGCAAAGACACTAGTCTCTGCTTCTGACTCTCAGGACAGTCTTTCCGTTTTTAGTGTTGTTTGGCTGTCCCATGGGCTGACCTCCCATGGTTTTATTGCTGTCCAGCCTTTTTCCTAATTGGCTGCCTGCCTCTCACTGTACTGTCTCCCTGTGACCTCCCTCCAGTTGTCACTGAGTTTAGAGATCTAAGCAGAATGGACCAGGACTTCCCCAAATGGGAAAAATGTCTTGCCCAAATTCCTTCAAGTCTTTCCTGGGCTCTTTCAGCGTACATATGTGTGAGACTCCAGTGGGAAACGAGCCTCTTTTATTTAAAGAATTCAGGTACAATACACATGCAGTGAAACATGAACTCTGATTTAGTTCATAACTTGCAGTTTATGGGGTGGTTGAGGAACATGGCTTTCCAAGCTGGATGGCTTTAACTTGTCTCCATGTCAGCCTCTCTGTCCTTCCGCCTCAGCTGTCCTATGTGATGTCTGGATACAGATGCTTTGTCTGTCCAGTGGAGTACAACAACGACACCAACAGCTTCACTGTGGACTGTGAGCCCTCGGACCTGTTCCGCCTGCAGGAGTACAATATTCCTGGGGTGTTCCAGTCGGTCATTGGCTGGGTATGTGCCACTCGCATGGGGCAAACAGGTGGGATAGTGACTGTAAAGAGCAGTCTCCTCGAACTCTACCTGCCTTCTAGAAACCCTAGCTTCCTCCTTCCCAAAGCTACCAGTCTCAGGATGAAGAACTATTTGAGCCAGGTCAGGGCAAGGGTAGAATGATGCTTTTTGCCCCACTTCATACCATTTATTCCAGTGTTTCTCAAAGTGTGTTTTTGGGTCCCTAGAGGATCCTGAGAATACCTTAGAGAGGTCTGTGAGGTCCCAGCTGCTTTCATGATAATTCTGTGATTTTACCTGCCTCTTTCACTCCACTGACGTTTACTGTGATGGTGCAGAATCAGCTATAAAAGTGCTGGCACCTGGGCATGAGCTAAACCACTGGCACCACCTGAACCATCAGGGCAGTGCCTGTTTCATGCCACAATCTCTAGTGCACACAAGCCAGTTGCTGTTGTGAACATCCTTGACAAAACAGTGAAATAAACTTTTATTAAATCTTGACCCTTACATACACTCTTATTTTAATACTCTGTGCTGAAATGGAAAGTATGCATAAAACATTCCTGTCAAATACTGAAGTACAGGGCTTGCTCAAAGGAAAAGCATGTGCAGGTGTTTGAGTTATGACCTGAACTAGCTGCCTTTTTTTTTTTTTAATGCAGGAACATTATCTTTTACTTGAAAAGAACTAACAGACTGGTTTTGCACATTTGGGTATTTGACAGACATTTTTCTTGAAAAGAATGAAGTGAGCTGTCACTTCAAGGAAAATGACTGACAGCAATTGTTACCATTGATAAAATTTGACTTTTAAGTGAAAATTAGGATTTTGGAAAGTATGTACCTGCTATACTATGCGCTAGACAGCTTGCTGGTACTTAAAGGATGTTACGTGATTTTTAACAGGTGATAATTTTGACATTGAATAATGAAATGTATCTATATTTGGAAGATTTGCATGGCCTAGTGAATCAATATTTTCTAAATGATCAGTGCATGGTGTTCACAGTCATACATGAGTAAAAAGATTCAGAGTGCATGATAGACTAATGGATTTTTTTGTTTCTTTTTCTGTGGTGCTGGGGCTTGAGCTCAGTGACACCTGCCAGGCAGACACTCTACCACTTGAGCCACACCCCTAGCCCTTTTTTCTGTAGGTATTTTTTGAATAGAGTCTTGGATTTATGTACAGGCCAGCCTGTCTGCGTAGCTAGGATGACAGCCACATACCAGCATGCCCAGATTTTATTGGTTGAGATTTAGTCTCACAAACTTTTTGCTTGTGCTGTTCTTGAACCCAGTCTTTCCAGTCTCTGCCTTCCAAGTAGCTAGGATTATAGGCGTGAGCCATCACAGCCTCTACCAGTGGATTTTAATGTGAGAGATGACAGAAAGTTCATCAGAACTTCTAGGATTTCAGATTCCACATTGTCCCTAATTTTTAAGAAACAACTATTTACTAGATTCTGGTGAATGTCAAAGAATACTCCTAATTATTTGAGAAGACTACTAAAATACTCTCACTTTTAAAATTATGTATCTGTGTAAGATGTTTTTCTTTATATATGTCCACCAAAATACATTACAGCAGGTTGAATGCAGGATATCTTAAATCAGAGATTTATAAGAATGGGAGAAGCTAGGCACCAGCACCAGTGGCTCACACTTGAGGCACTGCCTCAGGAGGCAGAGATCAGGAGGTTCACAGTTCAAGGCCAGCCTGGGCAAATAGTTCGAGACTCAATCTCAAAAATACCCAACACAAAAAAGGAATGGTAGAGTAACTCAAATGGTAGAGTGCCTGTCTAACAAGCATGAGGCCTTAAGTTCAAACCCCAGTACTGCCAAAAAAGAAAAAAAGGGGGAAATGTCTTTACTAATTAAATCGGTATGTGGAATTAGCTTCACTAAGAGTTATTTCTGGCTGGAAATGTAGCTCAGTGGTTGAGTGTTTGCTTAGCATGCATGAAACCCTGGATTTGATCCCTACTATCATAAAGGAAGAAAAGTTATTTCTAAGGGCTGGATATGGTAACAGACATCTGTAATCCTAGCTACTCAGGAGGCAGAGGTAGGAGGATCGCAGTCTGAGGCTAGCTCAGGCAAAAAACAAACTGAAAAAAGTTCAAGGACTGGGACATGGCTCAAGAGGCCCTGTGTTCAATCTCTAATACTACCACCACCACCAAAAAAAAAAAAAAAGAAGAGTTATTTTTGAAGCCTAAAGCTGGGCATGGTGGTTCACTCCTATAATCCCTGCATTTGGTAGACTGAGGCAGGAGGATCATGAGTTTGAAGCCAGCCTAGATTATACAGTGAGTTTGAGTCTGGCCTCAGCTACATAGCAAGACCCTGTCTCAAAAAACAAAACAAAAAAGAAAAAATTATTTCTGTTAGCATGTGATGAAACTGGACTTGTACACACCTTGACTTTTACTTTGCTTACTCTCTCAGAAAACAGTCCGGATGTACCCCTTCCAGATTCACAGCATCGCCCTCTCCACCTTTGCCTCGCTAATTGGCCCCTTTGGAGGGTTCTTCGCAAGTGGATTCAAGCGAGCCTTTAAAATCAAAGTAGGAAAACCCTTGTCTGTGTTCCTCTCATCTCATTGCCTGTTCACCCATCTTCTGCCTTTGTCCTCCTGGCCCCACCCTCCAGCCTCCACTCCCTTCATAGTACCAGGCTATGCACTTGGCTATTGTGTGCTCTTTTGACTCATGGGCTGTATGGAGTTGAACAAAAATACATTATTTCCAAGAAAATTCAGCAGCTGGTTTTCAATTTGTTAATATCTTTTCCTGCAAAAGAACATTTTGTAATTTATTAAGATTGCATCTTATTACAGACTTTGCATTTGATTCAGTTCTTTTTCTTATTCTCTCAGCCACACCCCAGCACAGTAGGTGGACACCGGAGTGGGCCCATTAGATGGGGATGAGGTTGTTGACTGAATCCACACTTACCTATCCTTCTTCTGCCTCTAACAGGACTTTGCCAATACCATTCCTGGCCATGGAGGCATCATGGATCGCTTTGATTGCCAGTACCTGATGGCCACCTTTGTCAATGTGTACATCGCCAGTTTTATCAGGTATAGTGCCTTTCCACCTGAACCAGGTTGGTGGATTTTTAAGTATGGTGCAATTCTAGAATTTTATATACGTCTTAATTTTAGTGAAAAGTATCTCAAATATGAATGTTTATGGATTCCATTAGTGGAGAATCCAGAGATCAGAGAAGCCACTTGGATGATCAAGCCCTCAAAGCATCTCATAGCCGTTTTTTCATGTTCTCTTGCAGGGGCCCTAACCCAAGCAAACTGATTCAGCAGTTCCTGACCTTGCGGCCAGATCAGCAGCTCCACATTTTCAACACACTCAAGTCGCACCTGACCGACAAGGGGATTCTGACAGCCACCATAGAGAATGAGTAGGGGCCACCCAGGGCAAGGAGAACAGGAGTCAGACTGAGTGAGGGGCAGGTCTCCAAGGCAAGCCCAGCTGCTGTGACTTAGACAATGGAGAAACTTCAACTCACTGTCCTTTTTTTTTTTTTTTGGTAGGGTGTTTTTTACTCCTGCATTTAAAAAGATGTGTATATACAGTCTTAAGTGTTTATGATTTGGGTTTTGAGTAAGCTACAGCTCTGAGTTGGAAGAAAGTCACGGGGTAAAACCATTTGGGTCTTTTAAACAAAAGTATTGCGCAACCTGGAAGACTGTTACCCAGCTTAAGATCTCTGCTTGGGTTCTAGACCCCATCCATTAAACTGTTTCTGGGCCCTATCAGAGAGTGACATTCATCTGTGTCCAGCCTATTCAGGGGGCTCTCCACCTATGCTGGAGTGCATGGCTTGGATGCCTTTGCTGTACTTGACAGCTTTTGCTGGGGCTTCTCCAGTCACCCTGCCTGGGAGCTAGGGAGTGCTGCCTTCTGTTGGCCAGAGGGATGCAGGCTTAGTGATCAGCTCAGTATTCTTTCCAAATCCTGCAGAGGATACTGTAGCTCAGCTTTGTTAGTATGGTTTCACTGTACTTAATCACAAATTGAAAGAAGACTTCAGATTTTACTGTTTTCAGAAAGAATGAAAAAGTAAAATAGTCTGGAGTTAAAAACGCACTGTAGTATTTCAAGTGTGTGCAGTAGAATGCACTGTAACGAAGCCCTTTCTCATGAGGTAGGCTCTGTTGTCTCCTGGAGGGTGGCACAGCGAACTGCATCTTTTCAGGGATGAGACCATTGGCATTTGTGCTGTAGAGTTGCTGCTGCTGAATCCTTCCTGGGGACTCTCCCAGGAGGTAGGGAGCAGAGGGCTTTTTGTTCATGCACCCTAGGCCTGAACGCCCATGTCGCTGCTGTGTTGTGTATATATTCTTGAGGCAAGTGTGTGTCTGTGTGTGTGTTTTAAAAGTCACTTATTAACTGTAATTTCAATTATACCATGACTTCTTCACTGAATCTACAAGTCTTGCTTAAAACTGGTGATCCTAACTTGATGTGAGGCTTGGCTATTCTGAAAATTAAATGTATGCTTTTTATATAATGTGACCACTTTCAATGTAGTTTGTATTTTACTGGGGGACCTTTCTGTTGTTATTTGTATAAATTGTGATTTTTTTTTTCCCCTTCCTAATCAGAGTGAAATTGACATGGGAAGACAAGTTCTTTTACAGGTCAATGAGCAGTTCAGCACTGGAGAGAGAAATTGGTGCCCAAATGTGCTAAATTACTGTGTCACAGTTGTTTTCATTGCCAATGAGGGTGTAATGAATTGCTTCATCACTTTGATCAAGTACTGGTTTGTAGTGTTTTTGTTGTGAATTGGCGTTACTGCCTTCCAGAAAGCTTTCGATCAGCTCAGACACCACAGAGGACAGCACCCTCACAATGTTTCATCTCTCACTATGAACCTCCCTCACAAGTATGGGATTGAAGCAGCTTTTTTCCTCTGAAATTTACTTCCATTTCAGCCTCATGGCTTATCTTTTTTGAGTTCAAGGCTCCCTTAAAAGAAAACATATTATTTTTAGGGGTTTCAGTTCCGGCCTTGTGACCCTGGGCAAGAAGCATCACTCTCAGGGTCCATATTTTCTGAGCTGACTTCTAATTCCAGTGTTCTGTGATTCTGAAGAGCAAATTCGCATCCTATGGGGATTGAGTCATGTCCTGGGCAGCCAAAAAGGAAGTGCTTTTAGGCCTGTGCCTGATGATCATCCTCAAGATGAGTCAGTGTCTCAGCAAGAAATCTTTAGCAGTGATTAGCAGTGAGAGTAGTTTTCTGATTAAAGAATGAACTTGGCTCACCAGACTAGATACAGAAGGGTGTCTCGTTGATCTCTCCTTGTCCTACGATGGGCACATGGTGGTGTTCTTGAGAACAGGGGTATCAGCTGGGGCTTAGCATCACTCTTGAACAGGGCTGCCTTTAGGATTGGGGAATATGGCAGCAGCAGCTGGGATTCCTGTACCTTTAGAAGTTTTGCCACTGTGTGGGAGTTATGGAAAAGTAGAGCTGCCAGCAAGAGGGGGCAGCTTGGATTTTACTTTTTTCTGATCTTTAGGAGTGCTTTCCCGGTGAAGGAGTAATTTCCTAGTCAAGTAGCCAGGAGAGCAGTGCCACCTTGTGGCTGTATAGCACAGTATTTCTTTTCTTCATTACAGGCTAGATTCCAGAGGCTCTTAGTTAACATGCATCCAGCAGATCTTAATGACTTGCGTAACTTCCTTTAAAACCCCGCCACCCCCCTTTTTTTTTCTGGTCAGAAATAAAATGTGACTGAACTTTTGTGCCCTCCTTTGTCATGAATTTAGTGTTTGTCATCTCCATTGGTGGTTTTTATTTCTCACTTATGTATTTATAAATACTGCGCAGTCTTGATTTAGAGATTTTTTTTGTTTTGTTTTGCTTTCCAATTTGTGTTGCATTCATTCTTAACAGCCTTCTGAGGTACCTCAGGTGAGAGCCATAGCACCTTACCCAGGAGAGAGCTTCTCCAGGTCATGAGGTGGAGTTGGGGACAGTCCACCTACAGGACTAGATGGTCACCAGCCACTCCCATCTGGAGTCTTGCAGCATTCCTCCTCTCAAGCTCAGGAGGCCTGACTCGAGCCAGGTTGGAGCTTAAATTGCTGTTAGGTCAAACTGGTAAAATAAGGAGTTGGTGAACAAAGGGATCCCAGAGACCAGAGCTGGTCACAGACACACAGGCCTGGGTGCACTTCTGGCAAGTTCACTCATGACTGCTCACAGGCACTGACCTTCCCTTTGCATGTGTCTGCGCCACTGTTAGCGCCTCCAGCAGCACGAAGTGCACATTTGTCCTTCGCTGTGAAAGCAAAGCCCTCTCAGGCAGCCAGGCCTTCTTTATGTGATTAGTTTGCATGTTTCACATGCTGAGCCTTGGAGCTGAGATAAGCCACATTTAAAATGTATGTACTCTTAATGCTCTGTAGTTCTGTAACGTTTGTGAACTAGTCTCTCTTCAGAGGGCGAAATGTAACTTTTAACCTTACACAGGTAGACTTTGAAACTATTTTTATGGTATCCCTTCCCACTGGTCTTTTTCATGAAACTTGATATATTATGCAAAAAAATTCTGAAAATCTATTTTAAGGGAAATTACACAGACCCTGTGATTGGGTCTGGGCTAATTGCTGAATTGGCAGGATTCTGATTCGAATGGGTCCCTGAATTCAGTGAGCCCTGAGCAGGCTCAGGTAGGTCCACGCCTATTGTTGACAGAGTTGGGAAAGGGAGGATGTGACGTGTGTCACAGAGTGTCTTGTACGGAAGACTCTACAGCAGTGGCTGTGTTCCTTATAAAGCCAGTCTGAGATGGATTTCCAAGGGGGATTTTTACCAATCTACCAAATGTGGTACGTCACTGCTGTAACCTCTCCCGATCTTAGTAGTTAGTATCTCAGGCACCGCTGTCTTGTCTTTCAGAATAACTCATGTCTGTGTCCACCTTTCTTGCACATGTCCTTATGTGTGGGTTGGGAGTGGGTAGAGTGGGGGAGGGTACACAATTTCACTTGGACGCAGGTTCTCGTGCTTCCCAGGTTAGGATGGGGAGGATGTACAGGTAACTGTCATAGATGCATTACAAGACAGTAAGCTGTGGTGGACTCAGACTGTTTGGAATAAAAGGCTCCAAAGAGCAGCTGGAACAAATTGTCAGCTCCTGAAGAGAGGGAGCTGATTTTGGGGCTGAGTCCCTTACACTTCCTTATCTTGGTCAAAATAAACTTCCTTTTCCCTTTTCACTCTGCATACAGTTGCCAGCTTCCAGTTTTAAAAGATTATCAACTCCTACTTCTTGACTTGGTTTCCCTGGTTGGGAGAGGCACAATTCACATAGGGTGCTGAGGTTTGGACTAAGTGGTGATGAAGGTCCTTATTTAAGGCTTTGCCTTATGTAGGGATTTCTGTCTGGTTCTAGTTGAAAGACTTCCCCATGGTCCTGACCCCTTTCACCCACATCTTTCAGAAGGTGGCCCCATCCTAGAGTCCTAACTGCCCATTTGCTGTTTGAATGTGGTCACCTTTCTGTCCCTCCTGTACCTTTCCCCACATCAGGTTGGCCAGCAGTGACCTTATGTGGACTCTCAGGTAGGTAGAGGCTGTTCTTACCTGGACTGCCCCTTGATTGGGCAAGGCTCTCACCTGTTTGTATGTGAACCATGTTTCCCAAGGCCAAGAGATTCCAGCATTAAAGGCAGTTTAGGAGATAAACTTTGGGTTTTAGGACATGTAGGCGATTATGAGAATAGAGGGCCAAAATATGTGAAGTCTTGGGTTTTGTGGCCAGTAAGTTTCAAATTAATGGGCTATTTAAGGATCCTGTTCCTCCCCTCCTCTTTACCAAATGCCTGTCTGCAGGCACCTTATCTTTTATTCTGTAGCCAACGAGATACCAGCAGTTTAGTAATGATTGCAATCACATAGTGCTTAATATATGCCAGGCATAGTGCTAAAGGTTTACATATATTATCCTTTTTAATCTAGAAAACAGCCTCTGGTTAGAGGGTATTGTCCCTGTTTTACAGATGAGAAAATTGAGTCTCCAGCTGGAGGCTGAGAGCAGTGGTTGAGAAGACAGACTTCAGGCTTAGATAGCCCTAGGTCTGGGCAGGTGACTAGGCTACTGTGAGCCTCCACCTTGGATCCAACTGGGTATGATGGTGGTTGTGAGGATTTAATGAGATAATGTGTATAAACGTTTAGCGTGGTATCTGGCACGTAGTAAGCACTCAATAAATGGTAGTTATTTTTGTTGAGCTTAGCTGGCAGTTTGACCCATGCTGGTGTAATACCGAGACTGGGTCCTCGGTCATCACACTGCCACTGCCCTGCACACAACCTGGTGTTCGCAGTCTAGAACGTGACCATACCATCCTTTCGGGAGAAGCAGCCCAACTATAACACCCCTCTATAGCATCTTGGTGCTTCACATGTCATTTAAGAGGCCAGCCTGACCAAAGGGAAGAGGATGGAAGGATATTCAGAAATTTTCTGGTCTTAGTGGGAGTGTCTTGTCTGAGAGTCTCACCCACTTGCCGTCCTCATGGTCTGGACTGCCCGTGGAAAGGAGGGTGTTTCTGCTCTCCTGGTGGTGCCTCCATTCTGGAGGCAGTGAAGGTCTACTGTGACTCTGGAACCCACTTCTCCTTTGGCCAAGCACCACACTGCACACAGTTTAGGAACCTGCAGTTCCTTCTACAGGTGGATGTTTTCAGGCACTGAGAAGTGGGACAAACAGAAACCCGCTCTAATGCCCATTACACCAACCGGAAGCCCAAAAGCTCTGCCCCCACCCACCCTTACCTCCATAACCAGTCTGCCCGGTGTTTTATTCTTCCTCAAGTGAATGAACAGGACAGAGCAGTGACCATTGAGAACATGTGATGCTGGGTGTTTTTGTCTAGTTCTAGGTTAGCAAAAGATCAAGTGGGTGATTCAGGAATAAAGGGTGAACAGGCACTGGACTGAATGAAAAATGTTTCTTTAACTCAGTTTTCTAAATGCAGACAAGTGGAGCTGGGGACAGTGTATATGGGAGGTGGAGGATCTTCACTTTGAATGAATGGCGTTGGCTAACAAGACTCATGGATTCTTAGGCCAATTGCATAATAATAGCTTAGAACTACTGATGTGGCTGTGGACTATTTCCTGGGTGTTAGTGGGACCTAAAGGCCCATTGCAATAATTTAAATATTGGCCTGTCCCCTTCAGTTAGGTTTAGAAGGTGCCATTAAGGAAATGAATAGGGAAAAGTTGGTTGTGAGGTTTTTAGCAAATAGTTGCTTATGACAACCTGAGCTTGGGTTTACCCTGGAGGTTCTCTTGCCCTTCTGGACTTACGTTTGCCGATTCTGGCCTTCCTCATTGTGCCATCCAATGGGCTCAGGCTGCCCTTTATCTTGAGAGAGGGAGGCTCCACATAGGGGGAAGCCCTCTAGACAGGGGCTGGCTGTCCCTGCAGTGCTTGCCCAAGCATTGGCAGGGCCTGGCTCTGCAGCCCCTGAGTATTTCCTTGCACT